AGTAAGGAAGGCTTCAATTCATCTTAGGCATAAACCTAACAAAAAGCCACAGAGGTCAGTGTATACCTTTCCATTTGCTTCTTATTCTAATCCTGGTCCAGATTTCTAGAAAGCCATATGTATATATTCCTTAAATACAATTTGAAAAGACTTACCAAACGGACTTTGTTTTGTTCAGGAAGCTGTATGAACAGTACAGCCTATAGGAAAATGCTTACATTGGTTATAAGCTCAGTTACCAGTAAAGCCAAGCATTATGCATGAGGCAAGTTTAATGAATTCGGTGGACATTCTTCATTTGTTGCAGAGGTGGAAAAAAGATGTAGAAAATACTAAAATCAACAGATTTACATCAGCAGAAAGTCAGTGGGATATGAGGAGTCCCCTGGTATGTAGATTCTATTCAAAGAAAAGTAGCTGATCCATTCGTTCATTTAGACTCCTACAAATCTGCACTATACGAAATGTAGACAAAAGGAAAACAAACAAGGGTTAAGACCCCATCTCACAATTCACGCTCAGATTAGTAATCGTTTCAGTGGGCTTGTCAAGCTGGAAACTGAGTCTCAAGGTAATTAATATATGTTATCCACATAAAACACCCTAAAAAGTGAAAACATCTAAAAACACACAAATTGTAAAATTGGACTTTCAGTCAGTAAGGATCATAACATAAAATTTAGCACAGACTTATATGGAACATTTGACTTCATTTTGTCATGGCAAAAGTGATTTAGTCATCTAGTTTTGTAACTCAGCAAACTGTCTTGTCAAAAATCCAAACATATGGTAAGAATTACTGCATTAGACAGAACTTTCTAATAGTTACTTTTTTTTTTAAAAATGTATCTTTTACATTGTAATTCACGCAAAAATCAGTTTTGCATATGAAATGACAACATTCCTAGCCTGTATAGTAATCACAAAAACTTTCTGATTATCAATCAATGGAAATTTGAGTCTGCAGAAAGGATGCTCCTCTCTGCTTCTGCTCAGAGCTATTATAAACTGCACTGTAGAGCAATTAATAAAGTTCAAGTCAAATCAATTGCTTCTTTTGCATAACAATCCATAAAGCAGTAAGAGGGATGAAATGTATTTTTTTTTAGGCTGCTACTGCTGCTTTAGGAAACCATGAACCCTAGCAAGAATAGGCATTGGAAGGATTCCCTAAGATAAAAAAAAATGTAAGACCCCCCCCCCCCCTCAAGTGATGAGTGAAAACAGAGCAGAGTGATAAAACGAGACCTGTACATGGAGGAAAGAAAATGGACAGAAAGCTGGCACCCTTTTATGCAATCAATGCACAGAAACCTGAAAATCTGGTAATTGCCTGGTGCCTTCAGAGATGCTGAGAACAGAGGTGTGTAAACGAATATCAGTTTCCTACTAGGCCTTCTCTCCTGCCTACACAGAGAGATTTTTCTTACTGTCTGTGACTAACAGATGTAATTGTTAGGCTAGTAAATGTCTGATACGTTCTCTGAGACACTTCCAAAGGAAAGAGAGGACCTGAGCATCTGCATCTGCTCAAGATGATCAAAGGTGTAATCAAACGCCGTTCCTCTAAAGTTGCTACTAGGCAGCCGGCCTTCCTCCTTCTCCAGACACACGTGGTAAATATCACTTACAGGCAACTTACTGGGAAATGAGAAGACGTTTTCATCAATAATTCTCTGTCCACACCAGGATATGCAGGAGTCAGCTTAGGCTCTGGGAACAGAAAATCTCGAGTATTCTCTTCATAAAATGCAAGGTCATCTCCTGCTGTATTAAAAAAAACACACACACACACACACACACACAGAAAAATAGTTGCCAGGGCTGTTGCTACGGAATTTTCATGAAGAAATAGATAGATGTGCAATGCAAACTCAGTAACTTCTGAATGCCCTTGACAGAATGCTGCCTCCCTTGTGCATAAAAGATACTGTCAGGAATAGGCAGAGGCAAAACAGAGAGAAACCATTTATGCTTTCATTAGTTACGAAAGATTTGGCTTAGCATACCAACAGTGCACTTTGATGCTATCCTTAACATTTTATCTGTCACGAGTGCCCCAAACCATTTAACGGATGGGAATGACTGTAAGGCTTGAAGGCAGACTGCCCAGTTATACTGTACGGATTGTCTACAAAGCTGTGACCCCAAATTAAAATCTGTTCCTCGTTTTACCTATGAGACAACTCAACCACATAAGAGATGAACACCAGCATCTCTTGGTGAGATTAGAAGATGAATGCCCTTCAAAATAATTTCTGCGGAGTATGTCTAATTTATGTGTTCATACATAGAATGCTAAATGTCCAGTTGGTTTAAGCAGAGGTCTTCTCAGTACTCTCAGTATGACCAGGACTCACCCCACTGAATGAAAAACTAACTAACTACTCAGATCAGCTGCCCATAGGAATACAACAAAAATATTGACAGGAGATTATGACATTGCAATGTTTGTTCAGCAAACCCGTTATCTTTAAAATGGTATTGAAAGACAGTCGCCATTGCTCTTCCAGAGAGCCAGCGATGTACTAAGCATCACATAAATGCCTACCCAATCACAGAACATGAGACTTATGTCCCTCTGACTGAGGGCACAAGTATCCACATACCACACTTGCCTCTAGCTCTTCTCTTCCTTCAGAACTGCATTACCTGAGCTCCAAATGAATGGAGAGGAAGGTCAGCTTTGCTCTGAATATGTAGCACAGCAAGGGACAGAAGATACTTTCATAAGCATCCTCTGCAGCAGGACGGTAAGGTATACTGTCAACTGCCCCACTTAGAAACTGGTGAGGGTTTTGCTTTCCTGAAATGAGCAGTTAGGTTGGCCCCAGCATTACACCGTAACGTCATGTTCTGGACACCATGAGGTAAAAGTTGCTACTGCCTTTACTTGGATGCATTCTGTATCTTTACAGAGGCAAGGAGACTTGCTCCCTTCTAATCAGACTAAACACAAACCCCACAATTCGGTGATTTCTAGACAAAACAATGCTAATAAGGAAAGAAGTTTTCAGAAAATGATAATAAAGAGAGTAACACTTTTGACCTTATTCAAAGTATGATCTTTTCTAGTCACTTTCATGTAAGGACTGTCTTCTCTTATTGATCCCAGCTTGTTAATGACCAGAAAGAACTTTTAATATACTACAAAAAGGAAAACAAGCAAACAGTCAATTTTGCTGTACACAGACACCAGGAAGGGCAGAGGCTGGCACTGATTCCTCTTACGAGGAATAATTAATAAAGTTGAAAAAGGGAAACACTTTCCACTGTTAAAATAAAAATAATTTTAAAAAAACTACTCTCAACTGCATATTCATTGTTTTGGGGGGGGTGGAAGGGGAAGAGAGAGAGAGAAAAAACATCTGAAGTTTGATTCATGGAAGACATGTAGATACTATCCAGAATAAAGACCAGGTGTTCTGAAAGGCCAGAATACACTGATGAGACCATTAAATCCCTTACCACTTTTTAATACAGTCTCACCCCTTTTAAAGGGGTGAGAATACTGAACTGATTTTCTGTCCTGTGAAACACGAAGAAAACCTGGCTACGCTCGGAACAAAAGCATTGTACATTACATGCAGCTACATGAGATTCTGATATCCACAAAGTTTGAATGGAATTAGCCCTACGAGAAGACAACGTTCACTGTCTCTAGAGTAAGACAGATCAAAGCTCTTTTAGCCTTGCTTAGGATTTTAAGTAGAAATAACAAAAAATTTCTTTCATTTGATTCTTTGCCTTTCCTTTTGCCTATATCAATGAACGTTTTTTGAAGTTGGAATGACACCACATATTACCCTTTATTATATCAGCAACCTTTGAAAACAAAAGGCAAAGCAGAAAGGGAGAGATGAACATCTGAAGCAAAGCATTTTGAAAATGTACAGGTGATATTTATTACACAGGGAACATAAAGTATATTTTGAATTTGCGATGATGGAAGAACAGCCAATTTTTTACAAAGTGATCACTACCTGCAGTTTTAGAACGTATACAAATACTTCATAATCAGTGACCTTAACAACAGCACTCATCTGCCACCCAGCGTCCATTTGTTTTTTTCTCCTGCCTTATAAAAAAGTAGAATATGAAGTCTGTAAAAGACCAACAGTATTATCTTCCAAGATAAACTCTATTCATGATCTGTTTAGACATTGCTGGCAACCTAGAAAACAAGATGAAAACTAATGAACAAGATGAAAACTAGTTTTAGAAAACTAAAACCATATGAGCGCCCCTAACCACTTATTCAATAAGTTTAGTCAGAAGATGAATGTTTTTCACCTGAAGTGCGTACCCAAGAATATATATGAGGAAGTGATGGAGAAGAAGGAAATAGGACTGGTGGAGCCAGTGTAATTTTTGAGCAGAAAAAGTTACGAGTCATGATATAAAACTAGCATCCACTGATTTCCTTTTCATTATTAAATTAACTAATACCTGGAAAAATATTTACTTGCCTATTACCTGAAGATACAAGCTGAGTTAATTCAAACTTCGTTACATTACCTGGAAGATGAAAAACAAATTATAGCAGCGTGGCCACATAAATAGAATAGATTTACTGTTTACTCCTGTGGCATACAAACGGAAAACTAACTTGATAGGAAAGGATGGAAGAAGGAAGTAAAGCAGAGAGGAGAAACAACAGAAGGCAGCGGAGAAAGGAGACAGACAGATTTAGAGCTAGTCCTTAATTATCAATATTATGTTTCGACGGGTTCCTGAGTATTTATTATAAGAGTATTATTAATACTTTAAAAGAAACAAGCAGGAAAGAAGCATTAGCACAAAGCAACCTTCTGTGGTTGACACTTGATGGGATTATAGGACAATGGGGCAGTCAGTGAGGCAATGGCTTCTGGCTTGACCTTCTGTTGAACTTACAAGAGTGGCTCGGTCCAGAAGGACAAAAAGCTGAGACCCAGTAAGAACAAACAGATCCTAACCAGATTAAAACTAAGGGTTGCTAACTGTTTAAACTGACAATAGCACCTGCTCCTATCAGTATGACTGAAGAAGTCTTGGCTGCATTGGGCAGGTTACTTGCAGTGATGAAACAGAATGAAGGTAACAGTAAATGTTTTTTTCTTCCTCCCCCCAACCCCCACTGCTAACAATAAATAAAGTTGTAGTTTTAAAAGGACTGTTCAGTCACTGAATTCGTGACGTGTTACAGACTTCAAGAGGAAGAATTGCAGATACAAAAAACCCTCAGCCTGGTCAGGTGAGCCTAGCGTTACACAAAGTTTCAGAACACAGCCTGGCCTAAGAATGGAAAATCATGCCAGTCACTCTAGGGGAGGTGCAGGCTGCCACCCGAATGGTGGCATGGATAATCAAGCAGAGAGATTATGTGAATACAGAGAACTACCTTGTCATTTTTATTCATTCATCTATTCCAAGCATTTTTTTAATTATACTTACTTTCAAGCATCTCAGTTACAGCAGCAGGATCTACAGCACTTTCAAAGACCTTCAGGACAATAGTCAGGAGTTAACAAATTATAGCACAAATTCATTTAACAATCTAGCATTCATAGAACACTTTAATACATTTTCCCTGTTGTTTCTCATGCTGCCAGTAAGCAAAAGTGAACTAAACAAATATTACACATCTATGCAAATGGTATATGTTTTAAAATGTCATTTACATTTTTAAAGTATGTGATATTTTGGAAAAAATAATTTAAATCTGAAACTGTATCTACATCACTGTCTATATCAAATTCACAACAGTCTGCACCTTATATGAAAAAAATTTCGTGCTTATAGTACCATAAGTACCATTCCACTAATAGTATAACACCAGAAGTACAAATGCAATTAGGAAATGTATATTTGGAAAACATTTGAACTCTTGGCCAATCCTATGGGACACATCCCAAAAGGAAAAATTAAAAGCCCTAGCTGCAAGCATCTTAAAGCACAGGTCATTTCCCACATAGACAAAAGGCAAACGAGTAGGCGTGAAGAGGTATTCCTCTGTTTGTATGTATGATGTAAAGACGATTCAGGATATTTTATAAAAATTAAATGAAATAAAATTTCATTCATGAAATTTCTACGTGAAATAAATATATTTTCCTACATTTAGTTCTAGTGCCTTCTACTACAGCAAATTATGTTCTATTCAGAGATATTTTTCTTACTCCTTGGAGTGAAATTCTGATCCTTTTGCAATAAATGGGAATTTTAACACAAATTGCAGCCAGGATTTCATGCTGAATGTTCTACCTCTCTAAAGAAGCTGCCCTCTGGTATATCTCACTCATTCTATCATTTTTGGTTGCTTCTCCTTTTCTCGTGGAACATGCCAACACCCTTCCTCCAATAACATTGGTGCCTTCAGACAATATTTTAGTGACAACCTTTTGGGGAGGGCTGTATAAAGCACATGTTTTCCCTGAGAAATAAAATATGTTGCTTCATACTAGTTAACACCTACTAATGAAAAATGCCAGTACACAAACACATTACCATGCGGTAAAACAAGCTATGAACTTATCTAGCACCACATACTTCTTCATAATTACCCTGATCCTCCTCTTCCCACTAGGTGAACTTAAGAGAAACTACTCTTCTGTAAAAGTGGGTTACGCTGCTTCATTTTTAACTTCATGTCAGAACGTGGATATGGGCTTGTATTGCAGAGGAGCTGAAAGGCTATGCCTTCAGAGTTACGTCCAACTCAAGATGCAGCAAAGTCCTAGTGGATGTTACTCCGTAGCTTTCACGTGTGTTAACTGTAGCTTTTCACTTGTGTCAACAGTAACCAGGGAAAGTAACCACCTTTTCTCTTCCAGTCATGTGAAAAGAGTTTTAGAGCAACAGAGACACCCAGAGAGTAGTTTGAAGAAAGGGTTTCTCAGAATGGAGAAGAGGGTGAGTCAGAAATAAATAAGTAAGTAGAAAAAGACAGAGTTCCTCTAAACTTTGTCTATTCTTGTTTTGCAATGGTTTCAGCATGGTACTGCTTATCAATAGACATAGCCATTCTTGCCCTAAGCCATTTTTCCAACACAGTTTTCCAATAATAATAATAATAAAAAAATCATAACTACCGAGCATATTGTACAGTACAGGAAAAATCAGGCTGAAAACTTGTGTTCGCACCAATTTCAGATGTTAGTATGGCATGTAAATGGTGGCAAAAGCATTTGCCTATCATTGGTTTGGATCTTCATTTAAGTCATATGTCTGCTGCTAAAATAAAAATCTTGAACAGATGACAGCTATACTTGAATACAGATATCATTTTGCTTCCACACAAAAATACCTGAAACAGTATAATTTTGGGGGATTATTCTCCTATGCCACTGTCATTTCTGAGATTACAGAGGAACTGTCTTTGGAGATGCCCTCCCATTACCACCACTATCAATAAAAGCTCAAACTGTAAAATCTTGAAGTTAAAAACTATTCCTTTTTAGCAACGGGTCTAATACTTCATCGCATTACATTGAAATGCATACAAAACAAGAACTAACCGCCAGTTGCACAAAAAGTTAGGTTATGCAAGAATTACAGCTTGTACAAAGCACAAGGCATTAGACCTTCTAGCCTGCAGCATGTAACAAGTGAAAGTCACCTTTTCAAACAACATCTTCTCATGAAACAAGAGAGGGAAAACAGGAGGAAGGCATTCCGTCTCTCTGTATTGACCCAAGATGCACACACTGAGATAAACGTCATGTTTCTCTGGCAGGAACACACCAGGACACGTGACCTTAGGAGAGAAAGAAACGTATATATTTTCTTATGATATTCTTAAATCCACACACGCATCAGACTCATTCTGCAGGATTACCATTCCCTATCTCAGAAGGTATTCAATAGGCCCTTGGCTTCATTTACACTAGGAGCGGTTACAGATTTGCTCTTCTGCACAGGGGCTTTCAGAAATGCCTGGGAACAGAAAAGCACATAGCCCTATAAAATCTGCAGCTCAATTCATGCTTACGAAGCGCATATAAGCTCTTTTGAAAAGCTTACCCTGGCACCTATTATATAAAAAGCTTACCCTGGCACCAAAATATCTCTGCATTGTTTTAAAAAGTCATCACATTATATCATTTTATGCCACTTTGTGATAAATTATCATAAAAATGATAGTGTTGCTATTCCAAAATTTTATCATGAACATTTTACTTGCAAAAGCTACAGACCTGTAAGCTCTTTAAGATAAATTCACAAATTATTATCTACAGATTCAAAATGAATACACCTGGCATAAATACATATGCAAATTAGTGGTTTAACTCTTTAACATCCCTCTTTGAAATTGGTGAGAAATTCAATTTCTAAGCACACTGTTGCAATCTTTTTGGCAGCTCTGCATTGTTTTCAGGACTCCTTTATGAAACGATAACCATATTGTTTAATTTTGCATTATAGACTTTTCTCATTTTTTCACAACTGATAAGCCAAATTCCCGTTAAAAAGGTACAACTGGCATGTAGGGTATGATTCAGCTTACAGTCAATCTCCTATTGATGCAAGAAACCGCTTTGGTATCATCTAAATACTCTGCAAGGGCTGCAAGATCTACAAAGCTTCGACTATATTTACATCTTTCATACTAAAAGTTTTCAAGCGCTGTGAGCGTATTTGGGGCTTTTCTTTTTTACCAGTTCCTTGTAACACGGACTGATTTCATAGACCTTAGCATTCCACACCCCAGAAATATTTGATACCTAAAAGGGAGCGAATGAGTAAAAAGTATTAATTTTTTTTTACATCTCATGAGAAGACCTATTACGAGCAACGTGTCATCCGTTTGCACACCAGCGATAACCCCCTCGGCGAACAAACGTGACACAGCAGTAAAAGCCCCACGTTTACTTCAACTTTTCCGTGGCACACCCTTCTCACCTGTCTTTACACCCGCAAAAACTCCAAAGCCCTACTCACTGCCCCCCACTTGGGAAAAAGGGCCAAAAGGCGGGCAGGTCGGGGGAAACGGCGGCCACGACACACCCTGGGCGGTGAGCGCACCTCGGGGTCCCTCCCGCACGCACCAGGGTGACAGACCTCCGCCCCTCCGCCCGCCCCCC